GGACATGACGCATGGATTAGCACTGCTGAATGCGGATTTGACGCCCTAATTCTGGAGGCGGTCGGTTGGGGAAACGGGCTTAATCTCTGGATGCACTTAATCTTTGTCTGGAAGCCTCTGTCGCACTGAACATGTTCAGTCCTGGCTGACGATCCGGCAGAAGGTCCCTAGTGAACTTGGGCAACGACTGTTGGATTTTCTATCTAATCGCTGTCGTTAAAAATTGATAATTGCATTGATCCTATCGGGGCGGGTGTTTGTTGATAACCTTTCACGTGAATGAGCGGCTGGATATTGCAGCCTTGTGCCGTTATTCGATGAGGAGCAGTCTGAACACACAAACGTTGTATGGTCGTCTTCGTAGAGAGTTCCGCACGCTTTGTTCAAGTGCTGAATCGTCACGCCTGGGCATGTTATGCCATCATTGCGTATCACCGGAGGCTGGCTGCCATAGGCCACATGTCTTCAACATAGTAGTCACGGCATCCAAGTCTGGCATGTGGTGAGATTGGCTGGTGCTGTGGAGCTCCGGACGAATCAAGGAACCGGCGGTAAAGAACTGCAGCAGCTGCGAAGCCTGCTGCCAACCCCTCGGGGGTTGTACAGTAACTTCCGTTCGCGATTCAAGGCAGAAGACAAAAATGGCCAATTTCCATCGCCCGCGTCAAGGCGGAGGAGCAAAGTTTCGCACAGTTGCAGCGCTTGACATTGTGTGCCACCCATGTCACGGTGGGCCACCCATGTCAGTGGGCCACCCATGTCATGGTGGGCTACCCATGTCCACCCGGGATACCCCTGTCAGGCTTCCTGACATGGTGACTCGTCCTTGTCCGCTGCTCATGGCGCTGCAAGGGCTCAGTTGAGGCTGCTTGGGACGGCATCTGCTAGCGTCTGAGCAGAAAGCGGATTTGCGGAATCGCGAGCAGCGAGGGGCAATAGTGCAACGCTGGAACGCGTAGGGTGCAGCCCGCGGTAACATACTTGGGATGCGTAATCGCTGAGGGCGTCGTGCATTCCTCGCTGGTCACCTATCTACAATGGAACGTACCCGTCCGCTTGGGCAGATGATGCAACTGCGCCCAAGAGTTCAGAGTACCGAAAATCTTCATTTACAAGTCCACCGAGAAAACAAAACAACGCTGCAGGGACATCTCGTGCCCTGCCGTTCTGGCAACCCAGAGCTCGAGCAGATCGGTAGGCTTCGCAGGGGGTGCAGTGTGCTTCAGGGAATAGTACAGACTGAATTTATTCTTCGGATCATAGTGCTAACTTATTCAGAAGTGTCGATGCCTGATATACCCGGCGAAGCATATCCACAAAACCTGGTACCGAGCCAAGCGAAAATACAAGATCTCTTCGCGAGTATTCAAGACTTGAAACGGGTCTTTACCACCGAGTTGGAAGACATTAAAGAGAAATTGAAGGATCTTACGGCTAAATGGGAAGAACTCAGAAGTATGTTGAAACGAAAGCACTTCCTCAGGTCCTATCTAACGATGATATCAGGTCGAATGCAGAACGAGGACGATATGGATGACGATCCATTCCTATGGACACATGTGCAGACTCCCGACTCTGTCATCTCCAATACGAAAATATAGGGCGGACAAAAAAATACCGGGAGGATCTGTTGGAGCCAAGGTGGGGTTGACATTAGACCACACGGAAACTGTAGTCAAGACACTCGACAGTAACGGTTCCACCTCGCCCTACGTTCTTCGTCCAGCATCGTGACCCAGCTTCCCAGAATATCCTCTGACATGCATTCTCNCTATGTATACGATCATCACAAGAAATCGTTTCGGTGGCGAGACGGTTACGAAGAGGGAGGTCCTTTCGTGTCGAAGAGATATTATCCCGTTATATTTTTCAACGGCTCGACATTCTTGCCAAAATCTCCAGGAAAGGTCACCGCTCGTTGGCTGCCAGCTGGGGACTTAAGGGTGCTTGAAATCACTGATTCGGCCGTTCGAAAGCTCATCGGACACGCGAGTCAAGTACGGAAGTTCCTCAGCGAGCGCGAAAAGGCACTCGCCGCGAGTAACGCCAAATGTAAGCATGCACTTTGGCGGAAGATGCCCAGGCGACAACTATTCTCCCGCATGGCAGGCTTCTGATGATTCACTGACTCTGTCTAGCTGAGGATGGTGTGCGGACGCTTCGTCGTCATGAATCTAACCGTGCTGTCGAACAAGCACCCGTGGTCACGAGTGCAAGGCCGCCAGAGGCTCGTGGACAGGTTGGGAGGCCGAGCATTTTCCAACAGCCAACCCACCAAAACGTGGAGAGCAGACGGGGAGGCATACCGAATATCCCCACATCGAGGCTTCTTCCGGGTGGCACACCGAATGAAGGGCAAAAGCAACCAGATCTTGCAGCTTCCAGCATCTCTACCAAAACAGATGCCAGCACCCTTGAATACAAGGCGTTGCCTAACCCCGAGTCAGAAGGCGTTCAGGTGACACCGTCAGGGGCCTCCTTGCCTGACCACATCCTTCAGCATGCCGCAAATACGAGCATTCGCATTCCCCCGGCGTTGCGGGACAGGCCAAACACAGAAATTACGCAGTGGGTCGAAAGTAAGAAGACTGCTTATGCGAAAGCGCTCCATGTCATGGACCGCAGTCACCGCGAGATCGAAGTCTTGCATAGCCTATGGCGCAGAAGGGCCCAGGCAGGCAATCCGCTAAAGGGTCAGGAGTTGCAACAATACCATCTTAGACGTGAACAGCAGTGGAATGTTTATGCCAACGCTGGCAGATGGATGGAGGATTTCAAGAAACAATACCTGGAGAGCACGTCACCGGCAGCTAGGGACACTGCGGCATCGATTCACCAGCCGGCGGTCTCGCCGGCAACCGTGGGCGTAACGCAATCTGAGCCGCAACGCACTGATGCGCATGGCAAACCCACTTCTAGCAATTCAGGACCAATCTCTACACCGGAAAATGGCTTAACGACCATCGAGGAAGTGGCTGGCGCATCGTCTCATTTCCTTGATGCATCTCGGACTGGGACTACAGTGAAAATGTCAAGGCCAACACCTGGCGGCGCAGTTCACCAAGAGGGCATGAATTATCAGGCAAAGACACACTCCGAAAAGAATGCACGTGGCCCCGTACTATCGTTGGAGGCCGAGCAATGCGCGTCAAATGCACAAAACGATGTGGCCACAGGATCGTCCATTGGACTCCGCCGGAATACTTCAAACTTAGCCAGTATAGCCGAGGCCGGACTGCAAGTCATGCAGAGCGCAACAAGTACAAAGGACGCATCATCGACAGAGGCATGCTCACAGACGACTCGACATGTGGAGCTTGAGACATGGTCTGAGGACAAGTCCAGAAGTGATGAGCAGCATGGACCGAGAGCGCCGCCTATTCCGTCAACCGATCGCATTGTTCTCCATCGTGGCGAGGATGTAAATAGAGGGAGAGCTCCAGCGCGCACACCAAGGCAATGGAATCATGTAAACGGATTACGCTTCCACTCGCCCCATGCGTTACCGAGCGGCAACTAGGACAGCCAACAACAGCCATCCCGAAAGGTGGACTTCCGCCATTGGAACCATGGCTTCCGAGGCATCATCGCATGGGCACCAAATGGTCGCACGGTGGTGTCCAATTTGGCACAGGCGCGGGATCATTCAGTGGCCGTCTGTGCGCTGGAATGGAGTCGGGCTACGGTCGGAAATTGATACTAGTTCAGAGGGATGGACATGACGCATGGATTAGCACTGCTGAATGCGGATTTGACGCCCTAATTCTGGAGGCGGTCGGTTGGGGAAACGGGCTTAATCTCTGGATGCACTTAATCTTTGTCTGGAAGCCTCTGTCGCACTGAACATGTTCAGTCCTGGCTGACGATCCGGCAGAAGGTCCCTAGTGAACTTGGGCAACGACTGTTGGATTTTCTATCTAATCGCTGTCGTTAAAAATTGATAATTGCATTGATCCTATCGGGGCGGGTGTTTGTTGATAACCTTTCACGTGAATGAGCGGCTGGATATTGCAGCCTTGTGCCGTTATTCGATGAGGAGCAGTCTGAACACACAAACGTTGTATGGTCGTCTTCGTAGAGAGTTCCGCACGCTTTGTTCAAGTGCTGAATCGTCACGCCTGGGCATGTTATGCCATCATTGCGTATCACCGGAGGCTGGCTGCCATAGGCCACATGTCTTCAACATAGTAGTCACGGCATCCAAGTCTGGCATGTGGTGAGATTGGCTGGTGCTGTGGAGCTCCGGACGAATCAAGGAACCGGCGGTAAAGAACTGCAGCAGCTGCGAAGCCTGCTGCCAACCCCTCGGGGGTTGTACAGTAACTTCCGTTCGCGATTCAAGGCAGAAGACAAAAATGGCCAATTTCCATCGCCCGCGTCAAGGCGGAGGAGCAAAGTTTCGCACAGTTGCAGCGCTTGACATTGTGTGCCACCCATGTCACGGTGGGCCACCCATGTCAGTGGGCCACCCATGTCATGGTGGGCTACCCATGTCCACCCGGGATACCCCTGTCAGGCTTCCTGACATGGTGACTCGTCCTTGTCCGCTGCTCATGGCGCTGCAAGGGCTCAGTTGAGGCTGCTTGGGACGGCATCTGCTAGCGTCTGAGCAGAAAGCGGATTTGCGGAATCGCGAGCAGCGAGGGGCAATAGTGCAACGCTGGAACGCGTAGGGTGCAGCCCGCGGTAACATACTTGGGATGCGTAATCGCTGAGGGCGTCGTGCATTCCTCGCTGGTCACCTATCTACAATGGAACGTACCCGTCCGCTTGGGCAGATGATGCAACTGCGCCCAAGAGTTCAGAGTACCGAAAATCTTCATTTACAAGTCCACCGAGAAAACAAAACAACGCTGCAGGGACATCTCGTGCCCTGCCGTTCTGGCAACCCAGAGCTCGAGCAGATCGGTAGGCTTCGCAGGGGGTGCAGTGTGCTTCAGGGAATAGTACAGACTGAATTTATTCTTCGGATCATAGTGCTAACTTATTCAGAAGTGTCGATGCCTGATATACCCGGCGAAGCATATCCACAAAACCTGGTACCGAGCCAAGCGAAAATACAAGATCTCTTCGCGAGTATTCAAGACTTGAAACGGGTCTTTACCACCGAGTTGGAAGACATTAAAGAGAAATTGAAGGATCTTACGGCTAAATGGGAAGAACTCAGAAGTATGTTGAAACGAAAGCACTTCCTCAGGTCCTATCTAACGATGATATCAGGTCGAATGCAGAACGAGGACGATATGGATGACGATCCATTCCTATGGACACATGTGCAGACTCCCGACTCTGTCATCTCCAATACGAAAATATAGGGCGGACAAAAAAATACCGGGAGGATCTGTTGGAGCCAAGGTGGGGTTGACATTAGACCACACGGAAACTGTAGTCAAGACACTCGACAGTAACGGTTCCACCTCGCCCTACGTTCTTCGTCCAGCATCGTGACCCAGCTTCCCAGAATATCCTCTGACATGCATTCTCGAGCTCGTCCTGTCCGGTCATATCGTAACCTGACTGGGCTTCCGCGCCAGGTATACAAGGAATTCGACCACTAGGGCACTTGGCATTGTTCGTGATGTTGAAGGTATACGTCAACCTTTCGTGTAAGTCCCGGAAACACTGTACGTGGCTCTCGTGCGGCTTTAAGTACGTTTGCAGAGCGCTTGAACAGAACTTAAGGGCATAATTCAGCAAAAGCGTGTCGTTCACGGCTTTGGTGGTCCTTGGGTAACAGTTTTGAAGCACCAGCTCATGAGTTGGTAGAGGATATGACGATGCCCTTGATCTCGTAGCCGACAGGGATTGTACAGGCGTGCATTGCATCTCTGTCGCGGTTTGATCTGCTGAGGGCGTCGGTCCGCATGCCAGGACGGTGAGCCTTTGATAGGAAAATCCCCCCATTAAGGCGTAGATTGCAAGTACCGTTCCCAGCTGCATACTTACTACAGGAGCCGCCAGATGCTAAACACAAGCTGTAGGTACAGGCAACCTTTCTTGGTGAACGCCTTGGTGGCGGGATATTAAGTAGGCGCCACTGGTTACGCAACAAATGGCTTCACCGCAAGTACCGTACACTTTAACCACTGGCAAAGCCAAATATGACACTGTAGTTTGATTTCCGCTTACTCTGTCAAATTGACGGGCATTTCGGGCTCTCCAAGGCAACATACGATGGGCAAGTCATGCCGTCTCGGTAGGCGACCTCTTGGATGGAGCTTCCCCAGTTGCACCGGGCCCCTCTTACCAGCTTCAACAGGATCATGTACAATTATACGCTGAAACACTGCCTGCAAAACCTGCTGGGACAAAGACGAAGTGAAGTGGACTTGTAACTATCTCAACGAAGGTCTCGACAGGATAGTGCCATGCCGTTATCCGGTCAGTACAAGGAGCCCAAGTATGCCCTGTATGGCTGGCAGAATCATCCTCACAGGAATTATCAGAAGCCGAACGACAAGTCCTATGTAGCTATGATAGAATAGCCGCCATGTCCACATTGCACTGGCGAACACCAGGAAGGAAACAAAAATGGCAAAATAGACGCCAGGTGCAGCGGTTGGAGGCTTGACTGCACATTGTCCAAACTTTTTGATGAGCGTACATAGACCGCTCGTCCGGCTAAGTAGCGACTGTGCTTTGGGATATAGGGCTGTCTCTTATACACATCTAGATGTGTATAAGAGACAGATATCAGAGACAATTCATCCATTACTGTTCATTCACCTGGCAAGCCATGTCGGAGAAGCCAAGACGCAAACGCAACCGTGAAGCAAGAAAACAAGTCCACCTTGATTGCCGTGAAGCACTGGCCTCACACATCAGTAAGTGTTTCGTCACCTACGGGAGTAGCCCCAGGCTTACAATAGCAAGGACGCAAGACTGGATACACGATCGAGCCGGAGAAGGTGAGATTAAACCCGACTAAGAGCGATGTATACGCCTGGAACTTCCTACCGGAAGCTGCACATCTCTTTGCCAAGTGTCTGAGCAAGCATGGTGTAGTGGCATGCCAGCAGCTGAAGTCTGGGATTGGTCGTAGCTTCGAAGCAGTCGCGACACGGGGCCAGCTGCAGCTAGGGCCTTCGCCGACAGTTCCAAAGTCCTTGCCCGTTCCCGATTCTGAAGGAGCGCCAGCTCAAGAAAGCTTGGCAAGCTCTTGCTGGATGTATGAAGACGGAACGGGGATTGCCCAGAGACTCGAAGACGCCTCCGAGATAGTTACGCTGCGCAGTGAGGTTTCTTCCCTCAAGGAGCTGCTAGCCAACTCAAGAAAAAAGGTGGAATCTCTTGAGAGACAACTTAGTCACGCTTTAGCCACTGTGAGCTCTCATGAAGCCTCAGAATTCAGGTCTCACCTCACGTTGGGACAGATTGCGGAGCTTGTCTCTGAGCTGCGTCGAACTGATGGCGATAGCTACTGAACATGGCGATTCCATTGGTACAGTAGTCTAGGAATACATATTTACTTCCAAACTTTAATTTATCATGATATTATTCTCGCTTAAGTTGAAGACGGCTGATGCACCCACTTCACTGTGAACTCATTAATCCCTATGAGCACATTCACCTCGTCTGATTAGTCTCGGAGTTGCTTCTTGAGACAGGGCAAGGCTTAGGCACGTGGCAGTAACATCGCACGCGAGAGGACAGACTCCATTAACTGTGATGCGTAATGAGTGGCAGCACTCTAAGATGGTGCAGGCATCCCGCTCCTGGTTCAAGCATGACCAGGTTGCACAGTTGCAGATCAAGGCTTGCTGGCCGGTGGTGATATTATGCAAAGGTTCGTTAATGCTGTTAGCGGCGGATATGGGGAGGTAATGAAGTCCAAGAAACCTGGCTTGCGCAGAACCAGCAGCTGGCCTTCGTTGAGGCAATTCGACTAGAAGATAGATGGGTGAAAGGTCTGCCGTAGTACCGTAGAATGAGTCTTTGGTCGTGTTGAAAAGCCGTCCATGCTATGTTGCCATGCTGTACAGTACAGTAGACTTCGATCGGATCCGAATACATTGAAACCCCAGCGAGTCCCGCTGGAATTGGACAAAGCATGCGGCAGAGCTGGAGCCGATCCTGGGTCTCTCTGTCACGTATCCAGGTCACCTCGTCCCATGGCAGCATCATCGCTGACAACATACAGTACTGTACTCTTTCGTCTCTCGCAACCCTCGCGTCTGGCGACACACTCTCTTCATGCCCGGATGCCCCCATTCTCGCAAGACGTTCTTCTATGCCCCCCCGGCGACACCACATCTGGACGACACCCTCTTCTCATTCCCTGTCGACACCACATCTGCGCAACACCATTTTTGTTAGATGGGCGCGCTAGCTGTATGCAGGAGCGCGAGTTGTTGGATATAACGATATGCTGTGGCTGGTGGCTGGGGCGTAGGGTAGAGCATCGACTCCCCCGCCCACAAGAACTTGAGGTTCAAGCAATAGAATCAACAGTTCTGGCCTCATCCTTGACTACGGGAACCCCATCGTGATTCGAGTGCTGCGTCGTCTATCTAACAATTTTCTCATCCCCTGTCGACACCACATTTGGACAGCACCCTCTTCTATTCCCCTGTCGACACCACATTTGCGCAACACCATCTTCTCATTCCCTGTCGACACCACATATCTGGACGACACCCTCTTCTCATCCCCCGTCGACACCACATTTGGACGACACCCTTTTCTCATTCCCTGTTGACACCACATTTACACAACACCATCCTCTCATCCCCTGTCGACACCACATCTGGACGACACCCTTTTCTCATTCCCTGTTGACACCATCTCTTGTTATTCCCTGTTGACACCATCTCTTGTTATTCCCTGTTGACACCATCTCTTGTTATTCCCTGTTGACACCANATTCCCTGTTGACACCATCTCTTGTTATTCCCTGTTGACACCATCTCTTGTTATTCCCTGTTGACACCATCTCTTGTTATTCCCTGTTGACACCACATTTACACAACACCATCCTCTCATCCCCTGTCGACACCACATCTGGACGACACCCTCTTCTCATCCCCCGTCGACACCACATTTGGACGACACCCTCTTCTCATTCCCTGTCGACACCACATCTGGACGACACCTTTTCTTGCACCCCTGTCGACACCACATTTGCGTAACACCATCTTCTCATTCCCTGTCGACACCACATTCGGAGAACACCATCTTCTTATCCCTGTCGACACCACATTTGCACAACACCCTCTTCTCATTCCCTGTTGACACCATCTCTTGTTATTCCCTGTTGACACCACATCTGGACGACACCCTTTCTCGCACCCCTGTCGACACCACATTTGGACGACACCCTCTTCTTTTCCCTGTCGACACCACATTTGCACAACACCCTCTTTTGTTCCCCTGTCGACACCACATCGGACAACACCCACTTCTCATCCCCAGGCCACACCACCTATGGGCCAACACCACCTTCTGACGAGACCACGTTCTGCCCCCTGTCAACACCGTTTCTGGCTACACCATTCTTTCTGAGCACGCTGATTCGCGCGCAGCCAAATCCAGCTTCGCCTGCATTTCCGTGGCGCTCAGATCCTCAGAGCCTGCCTCTCTGTTGCAGCCCGCTCGGCAGAGCTACCAGCTACGTAGACGTCCATGCGAGGATACGCTGTACTTTGTGCAAGGAGAGGTAAGTTTGGATCGTGGCAGAAACTCAGACACAACGTCCAAAGGGATAGTACATGTACTCGAGAGCTACGAGATGGCATGGCCACAAGACATATAGATGCTATCTCGCCTCACTTCAGCGAGAGTGGAGACAGGAATATTTATCTCTGAGGTACAACTGCCCCCCACGACGCAGATAAGCACTTTTATTGCCGTGCGCTGTTTCTCTGCAATAAAATTGCTACCCGCTTGACGCCGGTGTGGAAAGGACGTCTAGAGACCTGTCCTGAACCGAAAGCTAAGGAATATACCGTCGTATCGTATGTTAGGTCTGGCAGATGCCCCGGCCGCTGAAACAAAATAGGCTCTGAACGATCTATACGCAGTCAGCTATCCGTTGCTATTACAACGGCCTGTGTTTCCTACTCTCAGCTGCACGATTCCTTTCATCTAGCCCGTGATATGCTGGGACAGTGGTAACGGACGACAAGAGCGGATCCGCCGCCCCAATCTTAAAGCCGGGCGCAATTGGTGAAGGCACGGGCGACGGTGGTATTACGACAGGGCCGGTTCCATGGTCGCCGTACGACAGCAGGGGCAGCTATTGAGTGTCTTCGGGGATTATGTCGTCTTTGTATTCGGATTGCCGCTGCCCAACTCGCCGGTTTGCGGCTGTAAACAC